CCACTCAAAACGAGCAGCTTAATTTTTTATTCACTTTACGATCACTCTGAGTAAGAAATTTTCTTCCAAACAACTGTTCTCAAAAAACGCAGACACATAACAAATGCCTTCTGAAGCCCTTCAAAAATGTGAAGTAAAAAAACTCAGTTGATGGAGCAGATTTAAAATTTAAAAAAAAAAGAACTTCGAGCTTTATGGCTCAGTAGCTCAATATCGAGCATTGTGCTTCATTTTGCTATAATACGTACGTGTGTCTCTTCAATAACATCAGGTACTCCAGACGCTTCCAAAATCAAGTTCATCCATTGCCTGTAGTCAGGATCTTGAATGGTTTTTACCGCCTTTGGAACGCTCAGAAGCGCCTCAAGCCCGTCACCTTGATCGTGAAGACTGAATATCGATGGTGAAAACAGATTCATCTGCAATAGATACCTACTTATTAACTTTTACGCCAACATCGAATGACATAATGTGCTATTTGGTTTTTCATGCGCTCAATTCATTCGCAATAACGCTGACGAACTTGAATTAAGTGAATCAGCCGTCCGAGAATGGATGGCATTCATTGCAACGGTTAACTGAAATGAATCGTTGAAGAAGTGTCAATTTTTTAGCAAAGAAAGTTTTCGAATAGCAAATTTTGGGAATATTGCACGATATTATGGGATTATTGGTAAAATCATTGAGCTGTATCTGATGATTGCACACCGTCTTTGTTCGTGCTTCTTCGGGTGTTATCGATAGGATTCGTGGAGAAAACAGTGTGAGTTGGCCAACATCTGTATCATTATCAATTCCCATTGTTTTCACAAGTTCAACGACTTGACGGATAAATTTCGTTTGTTCAGCGATTATTTCCTGATTCGGATCTGCTGTTGATTGGTCATCTTCAGTTTGATCCACACCGAGCAATCCATTCATCGCCAGTTTGTCTCCCTTAACATTTTTTTAAAAATTATAACCACTTATTCTTTAAGCAGTATTAATCCGTTCGAAATCATTTTTATTTTCACCGCATCCTTTGATCCAGTTTTGACGTGAATCTTACCTCATCTCTTTCCACAGTTAACCGAACGACATAAAGCCTGACGATTCTAGAAAACAACATTTCAGAAAATACTGATGCATCCGT